GAGGTGTTCTGGGCTGCTTGTTTTGGCAGGCCTTCCGCCACCCCTGCCTGGCCACCCCTGGGCATGTGTGTCCCCGAGTGCTCCCTTAAGCAGGGCTGCCTGTGGCCGTATGGCCCGGGGAGGTGGCAGCCCCGTCTGTGTCGTCTCTTACTCGGTGAGTATCCGTACTACTGCAGCTCTGGTTCCCCCCCACCCATCTCTTCTAGGTCTGTGTTGGTGCGAATGGAATAGAAACGCCGATGAGTGATGTGTCGGGTCTCTTGTGCGTATTGCAGCAAACCCATCATTTATGTATCCGTAGCTTGATATCCTTTCAGGTTCTCTTCCAAGTGAAAGGAATTGCTTATTCTCTTCTGTTGCTGCTCTTCTGAAGGACACCATCCAGAGCTGAACGTGCCATAGAATCATAGAATGTTTTGGGCTGGAAGGGACCCCTAGAGGTCACCCAGTCCAACCCCCCTGCAGTGAGCAGGGACACCTTGAACCACGTCAGGTTGCTCAGAGCCCCGTCCAACCTAGGCTTGAACTTTCTTGATGAAGGCAGTGTTCAAAGTGGGTTGATGCGCTATGGCGGTGCTTACTGTGAAAGGATACTGAGACTTTTTGTGTCATTGGAGACCAAGTGCCTCACCGGATGAGATATCTTCAGTTCCCAGAAATGGGACTGCTGTTTCATTTCATGAAAGGTGCTGGTAAAGTTTGGCAGACAAAATTATATCACAGCAGACTTAAATGGTTCTTATGCCAGATGGCTTGCAAATAGGAAAAATGTGAGGGGCTGCCTCTCTAATTGCCTCTTGGTGTTGTAACGCTGGGAAGCTGTGTCAGCTTGGGAAAAGCCTGGGTCACATAGGCAGCATGGAAACTTGTAAAGTAAAGGGAAGGACGCACAGGGGTAATTGTGACTTTACTATTCCAGGCTGCACTTAAGAAATTTGAGAATATTTAAAGAGTCTGAATTAAATAATCCATGTTGTACTTGGGCTCTACATCATTAATGCCCATTTCATGTAATAAATTTTGGTGTTTCACTGTGGGTCTCGCTGTAGGGTGAAAAAATCATTTGACTGACTTTTTGCAAGGAAGCTGGCAACTTCAACAGCAGATAATGAAAGCTAATTGGTGCTGGATTTTAAGTTATGGTCATAACATAGCTTGATTATGCTTAGCTAGAAAACATTTTTACCAGAAGGGAAGTGAGGGGAAAAATGGGCTTCTACCTCAACTGAGATAAATTATTTCCACTATATCTTCAGAAATGGGGAGCTAGTACTGTAGTGGGTCAGCTCTGCATTGCCTATGACTATACTTATGTTGAAACATAAATGTGGTCCCTGTTGTTGAAGCTGAGCTTTGAGGACAATGAACTGCATGCGCTAGCTAAGTAATCTTGTGAAGATACAGGCAATTATAGTAGAATTATTGTTGCGCACTCTACATAATACAGTAAATGATGTATGTCAGCCTCTGCTGTTGGATTTCTGCCTCCATAGTTCAACTTTGATATTTATTAGAGATTAGTTCTTCAGTGTTAGCTATCGGTATTTTAAAACTGGATGTTAAAGCTGCTTAATTAACTGTACAAATGTGGTTTCTGGATGCGAAGTCTATGCAGAAAACCTGTTCTTTGCCTACTGTTTTATTCCACCTTTCTCAGCTGAAGAGCACTGTCGGACACCTGAGCCTTGCAGCCTGTGATGTGGTGTTACCATGAAGCTGTCAAAGGAAGGTCCCACTTCCCAACAGGAGGTGGAGCTGTGAAATGAGCCTTGGTGGGGGAGGATAATCCCGTGGAATCGATATTTGGTATCGGTGTGGGACACAGCATTGGTGGACATGCCAGAAGCCTCAGCTGTAACGGTGTGAGAGGGCTGCAAAAGCAGCAGGTTCATAAGGAAGCCTTTGGGCATTCCTAGCTGAACATACACTGGCAATCTATTGAGATTTTTCAGGTTTTGGAAATGAGTGCTAGGCTGTAAAGCAAGCGTTATTTTTTCGCATGCTTTTAGACAGCAGCTCGCTAGCAAGCTCTGAATCTTGCTTTGAAGACTGCTTCAAGGAGCTGTTTTAGCTACAGTGGGTTGGAAAGAGATTGGAAGGAAGGAAGTGGTGCAATTCTGAACCACGTTGTCAATTCCTCAGTCCTAAAAACTGTCAGCAAATTTATCCTGAAGCCCTTTTATGGATCCAGTTAAAGGCTATCTGAAGTGCTGAGATTCTTTTTGGTGGAGAAAAAGTTATGAGGATGCAGCTAGCTTCAATGTGGTTGGTTCAAAGGAAAAAGTGTTTGTAGCACATCTTACAGGCCTTCTGCAAGTTGTGTGAATTCTAAGTGTCGCTGGGAGAGACCCAAGCAAAAGGAGGGATCTGTAGTGGAGAAGAAACAATGAAACTGAATGTATACGTTATGTCAAATACTCCAAATTCCCTTAAGAGCAGGGAGAGGTGCTGGATAGCTGATGGGAACTTACTGATCACTTGGTGTGCTGGTGTAACTACATAAATAACAGTAAACTCCAGAAGCTGGAAGGTAACTAATGATTCTTTTTGTCTTCCTGGTTTGTGAGTCAGCGTGGGCATCCAGATAAACTGTTTTGGTGAAAGCATCCAACTTTGTGAAGAGAATCTTGTAAAGTAAGAAGAAAAAAAACCCAAACAAACCCAAAATTTCAACTATAGAAAAACCAAGGTCCTATAATCTAGGACATTCTGCAAAATGGCTGTATGTACCAAGTCCAGAGTTCATGTTTGGTTCTGTGAGCCTGCCTCGTCATCTAAATAATATTACGTCAGTTCACATCATTTACAGCCCTATCTCTGCAGTTTGGCTACTTCTAATACGCACGTTGCATACTGTGTAATACCACTGTATGTGCGTGGTGTTTTTTTGAACTCTCGTACATCTAAAACCCAGGCTTCTTTTTCTGTCAGAACTTAAACTGCGCTTCTGGAGCAGTGTTAGAAGTATGCTACTCTGGAAACGTCTCTGTCCGTGAATATTTCTGTTATCAGACGTGAATTTCCTGCATGCCAACCATCAGGATTTTGCAAAAAAAAAAAATAAAAAATGCTGCTGTCTTTTAGAACTGGCTTTGCTTATTTTGGGTTCTGTCACTGCTCCGCCTTCTCGAATCCCTTGTAAGAGTAGTGTGTGATCACAGATCACCACCAGGGTATGATCAGGGTATGTATGATATGCCGGACTATTTTCCCTAGCGGATGCCTATGTCAGTGCTGGTTGGCTTTTCTGGGGCTCACCCACTCACAAACCCCTGATGGTTGCTGGAGGAGGAGTGAGGTGGCTGAATTCAATGTGAGTTGGGGGGTGGAGGTAGCTCAGGAATATGGATAAGTAAGAAGGAGGAGTTTTCTTCCTCAATTCTTTCATCTGTTGATGATGAGTTGGGTAACTTCTTTGCAAGCTAGCTCGTGGGTAGTGTCAGCCCTTGAGACATCCCCCTGCCCATTGGGAAGATTTTACGCAGCCTGAGCTGTCGTTTGTCATTCCAGCACAGCCTTCTGAGCAGGGATCATGGGTGCTCGTGATTTTTGGGTGAGCTGCTCTTGGGTGAGGAGTGTGTTGCTCAGTCTGTGGTCTTTAGAGGGCTCTCAGGGAAACATCTGATGATAAGACCTCTGGAGCCTTTGTCTTCCTGGAAAGAGCCCACTAAAGCTGGTGGAAAATGTTTTGTTTCTCTGGAAATTGGCTGAGGCCTTGAAGGGAAAACATCTTCTTGAAATAGATAAAATGTTATTCTGTCACTCATCCTGTACTTGAGGAGCTTGAGGCTCGTGCCCAAGGCCAGTCTTCTAGAGGAGAGGAATATAACTGACTTGAAAGTTTGTCTTGTCTCAGGCACGCAGAGCTGCAGGTGCTGTCTCTGCCTGCCGGTTAGCAGCATGGCTGGTAATAAAATGCTGCACGTGCCTGTTGGTAAACAAAAAATCATGTGTAGTTAGGATGCAAACAGGTATAGGCTTGTCCACAGAAGAGCACTTTACAGTTTCTTAGTCTCCAGATTCTTCATTGGTGCATCAAGCTTTCCTAGGAATAGAGTGAAATGCCAAAATTCTTCATCTGAAAATAAATAGAAAGGACTCTGGATTGTTTCTGTGCTCTTGGGGGCACAGTATGGGAACGTGTTTCTCTTCATCAGAGCACAAGCATTACCCTCAGTAAAAGTTCTGTATTACCCAGACTTCATGTAGAAAGAGCTAAAAATGGGGGGGTTTGTTCCCCTTTTACATTCTGTTTGCTATTTCTTCCAAACAGGTGGTGATCAAGATGCCACTCTTGCTATTTTGTTGTGCTGCTTTTGTCAGTGAAACGCTGCTCAAAGCAAAAGCACCGCCAAAGATGAGGCGGCGGAGGAGTAGGACCGGTAAGAAGCTTTTCAGCCTTTGATTTTCATAATCTTTTGGGTGGTATTTTCTCTGCAGATGGTCGCTATTCCAGGAGGAGTGTTCACAATGGGCACTGATGAGCCTGAAATACAGCAAGATGGTGAATGGCCTGCTAGAAGGGTCCGCGTTAACGGTTTCTACATGGATCAGTATGAGGTCAGCAATGAGGAGTTTGAGAGATTTGTGAATTCCACTGGGTACGTTACTGAGGTAAGGCAGAAGGGTGTACAGCCTCCTGTCATCTTTCTTTGCGTTGGCAAAACCCCCCCTTAAAAACTTAGGGCTTTTCTTTTTTGAAGGATGCCACAATACTTGCTTAGGATTTGCATACTAGAATGTTTCTGATGTAAGTAGCCTAGAGAGAAAATTGTCTTGCCTTGCTGCCCAGGGGTCTGAAGGGGCATTTAGATCTATACTGTTACATTTACTAAGTGTCTTGATATCTGGACTAGCATCTTCCCTGCAGTATGACCGAGGCAGCTTGCATGAAGATGTCTGGTGGCTGAAGATGTCTATGCAGGGTTTTGGGGGGGGGGAGTTTGTTGTTGTTTGTGGGTTTTTTGACCTTTGGGTCCTAGGACATCTCTGTACCAGTACAACTATGTTGTTTGATTTTTCTCCTTATTTTAGAGGAACAGGGGAGAAGGGATTTAAAAAACCTGATAGCTGAGGGCTCTTCAGGCTTGTTCAGCACAGCTACTTGCTAATGAGCTGAGCAATAGAGAGCCCTGCTGTCTAAAGAAGATATAATAGCAAGTATAATAATAGTTTTGTGCATGTTACTGGGAACAATGGACTAAGACAGAATATGTTAAGGTTCTTCCAAGAAAGAAGCTACCTGTGCCTGAGGCTCTGATCTTTCCTGACAGTTGACTGTTCCTACGCAACTCTTCATAAAACCCTGACAGGCCTTTTAGGCAAATAAAAGCCTCCGTAATGATCAGGTCTCAAAGGAGGCACTTTGCTGAACTCACTTGATAAACTGGTTCTCAATTGGAAGACAGGATCCTTCTGGTTGGATGAAGGGCTTCTTTTCTCTGCGGCACTATTTATGGTTTTAAGTTCTTAGCTCAATAGTTATGAAAAAATGGTTGCTTAACAATTTTGAGTTTGAACAGGGCTCACTTGTTACAAACGGCTTCTGGAATGAGCACGTGTGCAGTGGTATTTGAAGGCAGCGCTGCATCAGGTGGAGCTCGCTTCAGGCAGTGCCTCGTGGCTCAGCTGGTGTGGCTGGGTGCTCTGCTTACACCTTCCCCCCCACCCCCTGACATGGGGCCCTCTTTTACACTGGATTGGGAAAAATAAACTCAGAGTTAGAGTAAGCAGCACTGATTCTGCAGGGGTTTTTTTGGGGATGCGGCTGAGCTGTTTTTTGTGTGTTTAAGTCATGTCCACATTACTTACTGCGGGTAAACAGAGCCAACCTACTTCTTGTTTTTTTTTTCTCTTACTAAGGTCTAGACTGAACTCCAGTAGCAAATGAAACCTGAAAGTAAATAGAAAGCCGAAGGAAAAAAAATCTCCAGGTGTACAGCTGTCTCGTTGAACCAAAAGTACTTTTTAACAAACTTTAAAAAAAAAAAAAAAGCCCTTGATGGGGGCTGTCAGACTGAAATCTGGGGTCCTTTACATGATAAACCTGTTTGCCTTTCTGGGTCTTGCAGATTGGGCAGGAAAGGAGAAAAAAAAAAAAGTATTTTTTCTTTTCTTTGATAAACCTGTTTGCATCTTTGTCTGGGTCTTTCAGATTGAGCAAGTGAGAGAAATTAACTATTTTTTTCTTCTCTTTCCTTTCTGAAACTGAATGTGTAAAGATTACAGTCATGTGCCAAAACTTCTTGCAATTTGTGTGTTGAATGGGATCCTTCTTTCAAGCTGTGCTTCTTGAAGAGTTCTGAGTGTGCAGAAGGAGCTCATGGTTATCATTCTGAGCCTCTGAATGCCCATAATAAAATGAAGAAATTGAGAAGGGCGAATGTATTGAATTCTGCTAACATGTTTTGACTTCCCTAGTACATCAATCCATTTAGTTTACCAAGGGGGAAAAAACCCTATGTGGGTATAATGTACTGTGATTCATTAAAATTATTTGTTTCTTTTGGCATTATATAACGCTAGATATAATGACTGGGTTGCTTTAACTCCTCTCCTGTTCTCTTATTGTAACAGCACTTTAAAATGTGGTGCTAGTGATGATGGAGGAGCAGTAAGTGACAAGGCTTAAGTCTTTCACTGTGATTCCCAGAGGAAAAATAAGAGAAATGAAATATGCCCTTGAATGTTAGATTATTGACTGTAGCGTTGTAAAGCAGTTGGGACAATGGGAGCTGCATTTTTAATTAATAACAGTAAAAACATTTGCAGAAGCTCTGTGAGCTACCAACTGTCCAGTGGCAGTTGAAGAACAATGACATCCAGAGATAAAAAGCCTTCTCTTCCTTGAAAGAGAACTCAAAATTACTACTAGAATTTCCTTATCCTCGATAAAATAAAGCTGTAAATGTGAGTGGCGTTTTAAGAATAACATTCCTCTGATAATACGGTTCAACCCTTTGTTCTTTCTACAGGCAGAGAAATTTGGTGATTCCTTTGTGTTTGAGGGAATGCTGAGTGAAGAAGTGAAGGCTGGCATCCACCAGGCAGTGAGTAATGCAGCTGGGTACAACTTCCTTAGCAATTACTGGGGTAGATGTGTTAGCAATTATGGCAATAATACCTAAATTGTGTGATGTTCCCAAAGCCATGTACAAAAATGGGATTTATGGAGGATTTGTGGTCTATTATCTGGTCTCTCTTTTTTTTTTTTTAAGCAAACAATTAAAAAAAATCTACTCCTGATTAGCAACGGTTAGAACCAACCCCTTCTTGTCTTTTTTTGCCTCCTAAATGAGAGGTATTTAGGACTGTAGTAAGTGGTGTGGATACAAGGCTGTTTATTTGCATTACACGTGACACAGCGATGCTTTGGAAGTTCAGATGTCAGTCGTGGCTCTGCTGATCGATGTGCTGCGTAGGTAAAGAACAGGAGTGCTTCTGGCTCCAAGAGCACACGTACGTGTGGCTGTAACGCTCTGCCAACACAGTCTTGCGTCTAAACAAAGCTGGTAAATCCTGCATCCTGTTGATTTAAGAAAATGAGGACTATCTGTGTATCTGATAAGATAGCGATGCTTGCATGCCGTGCTTTTTCTAGGCTAACTAGAGGCAAATATTCCTAAGTGCCATTTCTACAGCAGACCTGAGTCTAGAAGCAATTTGCAACAGAATAAGGAGACTCTAAGTTTACTGTGCTTCCTGCATCTCTGTAGAAAGATGCTGTGTGCCTCGCTCTTTATTCACTTCCCTTCAACTTGCTGGGGCAAGATAGTGATCCAGGTAGGTGCAATGCTGATTAAACTGGAGCTGTTCCAGTTTTCCTGTTAAGTGGAAGTGAATACTCATTTAAAAAACAAAAAAGTTGGGTAGCCAAGCTTCCCTGTCCCACTTTTCCCTTTTTCTGTTGTGAATGTGTTGCTGAGCCTTTCTTAGGCTTTATTTACTTCCTCCTTAACTGGTCACTTAACCTTTACAGCTCCTGATTGTGAGTAGGTTGTCTTGTCATCTCCTGGATGAATCTATCTGCTCTGAGCAGAAGTTTGGACAACATGATCTCCTGAGGTCCCTTCCCATCAGAATTATCCTCAGGTCTGGTGAACGCACTGCATTTCCAGATCTCTTGTCCCATGCCTTTAAAAAGGCCTTGGAAATGAAGCGTTCTGATGTGCGTAGTGTGGCAGTTTTGGGGGTGGGTGGGGGTGGCTTCAAATTGCATTTATTCTGGATGGGAATGTCTGCTTTGTTGGTTAATTTTCTTTTGGATCAGCAAAGCTCACTTGGCTCATTCCGCAACTGCTTGAATCGACACAGGGAAGCAGGATGTACGCAAGGAGCAAGGTGGTAACAGGTCTGAAACTGCATCCTTTGGCAATCAGACATAAATAAGTGTTAAGTGAAACTACACCTGTAGAGAGGCACAACTCTTTCTTTGAAGGTAGAATAAATGCAGGTGGGCTCATCCCATCACCCCAACAGAAAGTTCAGCTGTCAGTGTTAGTGAAATTCTTTTTCCTGCCCTAGTTCTGTGATGCAGAAATCCCTAAATCTGGCGCTCTGTTTTAAAACAAACAAACCAACCCTGAGAATGCTGGTGTAGGCTCAGTCTTGGCTATTTGTATAAACACACAGAGAGTGTTGGGAGCCACTTCCCTGGGTGTGTCAGCCAGATTTTGGAGTGTTGGCTGTAGTGCTAACAGAACAAGCATTATGCCAGAGGGCTGGAAGGGAGCCCAAACTGGTCTTTTTGGCTGCTGCTTTAAAAAAGTTTTCTGTATTTATTAAAACTCAACTTTGTGCAACTGTCCTTTTGCTGTGCTTTTCAGTAGTTATTACTGGGTCATCTTGTGAGTTACTGGCATGCACAGCGTTGTCAGAATCAGCACAGAGATTGTACTAATTATTTTGGTAAGGTGATCTGGAGAGTAGCGACTGCCTCCTTTGTAGTTTGGCACTTTATGCTGATGCTGTAGACAAATTTATGTTCTAAAACATGGTAATATTGTGAGGAGGTGAAAACAAAACTAAAAGCTGCTTTCCTTCCTCCTGTCTGCCTGCCCCCTCACCAGCTACATGCCCTGAAATCCAACTTTTAGCACAAAACTTCTGTCTGCAAGGAGGTGTCGAAAGGCAGCTCAGTGGTAGCGCTGGGAAGAGAACTCTTATGTCTGAAGATGTCTGAAGGTACAGCTTAGAATTTTATCTCTATATGCTCCTGCCTTTCAAAACTGTGTCTTTTTGCTGTTCTAGTGTGGGTTTTCTGTGAGGTTATAAATGTTGAGAGTACTGTGTAGACCTTCATTGTTTTGGGGGTGTTTTGTTGTTTTGTGACTGCAATTTGCAGACCAGAGCAAGCGAGCACCTTGGAGTTGGCCATGGGGATGTGGTGTCAGAATGCCATGCACTCAGACTCTTCTCAGACAACCAAACTCTGGGTAGGCCATGCTTATCCCAGCTAATTGAAACTAATGATCTATAGAGAACTGCTAATGCATTTTATGCTTTCAAGAAACAAGTTTCTATAGACAACTTGCAAGAAGCTTCTTATTGCTAAAATGCAGAAGGATCCCACCTACGGGTCAGGGACTTTGAGAGTTCTGCAAAAGCAAATCCTTCCTAGGGATCTTCAAGCTTAAATTAAACAATAGAAAGGAAAAGCTAGCTTCTTGTTACATTGCCCCAAATGTTTAAATTTTACCAGTGTCTGCTGGGGTAAAAATGGTGAAAGGAATCTAATATTATTCAATTATTTAAAAGAGCATGTTTTAAAGCTTGGCTGCTGCAGTGTAACCGTTCAAATGTAATCAGGAAAAGTATACATTGCATGAAATGGGTTTGCATCAGCAGATAGTAATGATCAGCAATAGTGAAGATTAAGGCTTTTTTCTCTATCTGTATCTTAGTCAGTCTTTTAGCTTGTGGTATGTACCTTCCTGAATCATAACTGTCACTGTGAAAAGCAGGAATAAGATGTAAACATTGGGGCACTGGTACTGGAAAACACCCCCCCCCAGCTGATGGGAGGAAGGACTGTATTTTCACTGTGCCTTAGTGGCTCAGATGTGTTTCAATAAGGCTTTTCTCCAGCTGAAGCACCGGGGTGCTAAATGCAAATGTGAGTATAGGGGAGGAGCAACAGGAATGTGTATTTTGGAAGTAGCATTGCATATGTAGTGCAAGAACTGGGGGAAGTGAAGATATCGAGCTAAGTGGTATATAACAGCTCCTATAAAGAATGAGGTGCATGTGTCTGTTGGGGAGTATCTCGGGGTTTGGCTTCTCTGGTTCTTAAACCAGACTAATTTATCATAGGCCCTGAAAGGAAGCAGACAGCTCAATTAGAACAGAGGTGGGGCTGGTGAAAGCTAATGCAGGAGCAAACCAGCTTAGCACGTAGGGTGATTGTTGGAGCTTTGGGTGTGCGTTTCCTGGAGGTGAGGTGGTCTCCTAGATAGCCGCTGCTACAGGAATGTAGGCTGGACCTAACCCTCCTCTGGAAGGGAAGCAGTAAAAAGGGGTGTAGCAGCCAATAATTGAATTGTTCTAGATTTCTGGGAACTCGAGTTACAGTTTTGGTCTCTAAGTTTGTGGTGGTAAGCTGGCAGAGAGCAAAAATTTAACACTGGAGCAGATGAGGGTGTTGCTGATAGAATTGGCGGGGGACTTTTTCAAATAAAGAAGGATTTTCTAGGGCGAGGGTGGAAGGTCCTTTGAAACCAAAACGTTTTGTGTGGCCTTAACAAGTCCTGAGAGCTTCACGTATTAAAAATCAGTTCTCAGACTTGCAGATTAAAACCAACTACTGATTACTGCATCTCTTACAGCTCTTAAGTTATGGCCTTTCTTGGGTACTTGGCCTTTGGTTTAGATGTCTCGGATAAAACACAGCCTAGAATTGCCAATAGCCTGGCACTTGGAGATTATTTTTTTCTTTCCTCCTCTTTTGAGAGAATTTGGGGAAATGGAAAAAGCTCAACATTGAGATTTTGCTGCTATTTTATGATGTAAGTGCTTTCCTGCTCTTTTATCTCCCTGACTGAGTTAAGGAGGAAGTAGAGAGGGGGGAATTTTTGCGTGCCCAGCACTATTATTCCATGGCACTGTAAAATGCCATTTATATGGCACTTTAATGTATCCTAGAGCAAAAAGCATGGGGATTGTGTCTGTGAAATGAGGAGGTACTGAAGTGCGCTTGCCGGTGAGGGGATTTGAGAGCTCTGGCAAATAACTGCAAGAGTTCGCTTGCTGTGCAGCTACCATGAAAAAGGTAAACAGGGATAGCACTTACTGAGATGGGAGTACGGCACAAGTCAGATCTGCTCGCTGGAGAGCAGTGGGAACACTTTTATTCTTGGCTTGTGGAAGGTAGCAAAATTAATTTTTGCTTCTGGGCCAGATAAATTCTGCAATGAAGAGACTGAAAGTGTACAAATCTGTATACTTTGTATTTAAGAGGTGTTGAAGTTTTGGTCTGAGAAAGCCATGAAATTAGTTCACCGGCAGACTTGAGCAAATACTATTAAGGCGTTCAGGTCGATCTAGAACCCACGGATACTTCTTTCACCCCTGTTTGTATGGAAACCTCTGCAGTGGTCTCGAGCTGTGCAATGTGCCTGTTCATAGCAGTGCCTCTAGGCTGTAACTCAAAGGGCACAGTCCCGTTATAAAACCCATGAGAACGTTATGCATTTCAAATGAGTATTTCAAATTCCTGCTAATGCAATGAGCCATGTTTGCAGGTAGGATAGCGGTGCTGGTGTTTGCAGCACTTACTCTGGAGGCCGTACCTTCTGAGAACACGCGGTAATACCTCGCTTATCTGTGGCATGGGGGGCGGCAGGTTGGTTCTTCTGTAGTTTGTCTGATATTGTTAAAGATGTCAACACACACCGGACGCATAAGCAGAAGTCGACAAATACACTTATTGCTACTTTAAGGGTAAATTTCATCTCTACCAGACTTGGCTTTTGCTTTTTCAGAGGCCTTTCAGAGAGGAAGCTGAACCCCAAGGGAGATGGGTGAGCCTGTTTCTTGCAGACCCCAATGCTTC